GTAGTAAAAGTCACGTTGGTTGTATTGATGGAAATGAGAGTCGAACTGCTGGAAAGTCGAACTGCTCAAAAGCACTTGTTATGGTATTCCGCCATACAATATAGTCATCAATTTTAAACGCTTAGAAAAACACAACGTTTTATTTTATGTCACCAGCCTAGGTCGAGTTACACTACTCGAGTAACTGTGTTTAAATAGGGAAAACGAGGAAGTGTTTGGTCGCTTCTCTTTTTGGCCCATATTTAATGCACTGGGCTAAGCTAAGTGCTAACATAGTTTTGCGGCAATACAGAGCGATATAGTGCACGCACTGAGACGAGAGAGGTATGTATCAACTCGTCTTAGTTAAGGGAATAACATAGCTTAATATGAAAAACCGGTGGAGTATCCCTTAAAGTGTTGACTGTAGAGTAGACGCTTGGGTGTCAACTGGAGACAGCCCAGGTAAACTTAAGTCAGGCGCGTAGGGAAAATCAATCTACGATACGATCCAAACCCATAAGACTTTTGTTCATCTTCAGAACACAAATGAAGATCTTTTTGATGAAATTTGAGAGCTTTCTATCCCTCCATTGACAGCCTAAGCAACTACCACTTTCAAGGCCCAGAAAGGTAGTAAAGACATCATTAAAGTAATCCATGTGACTCCAGTGGTTTAACCTCAATTATATGAAGCGACGCAAAATAAATTATTTACAAAATATGAATCTCCAACGCACGTTCACGAGAGCACTACGACACATGCGTGTTGTGTTGACACGAGAGAGGACGCTGTCGTGTGAATGCATGTCGGAGATTAATATTTTGCAAATAAAGTGGTAAATTATGTTTTTCTGCACAAACAAAACACTCGTGTCACTTCATAAAATTGAGGTTATACCACTGGAGTCACATGGATTACTTTAATGATATCTTTACTAGGGCTGGGTATTGACACAAATTTCACAATTCGATATGATTTTGATTCACAAGCTTGCAATTCGATTCCGATTCGATTCAATATTGATTATTTTGGATATCAGGTACAATACATGGCAAATTTTCTCAAGAAAAACAAATCTCTTAACTAATGCTGTGAACTATGGGAGTCAGTTGTAGCCTACTGGGCTTCATTAGCCTACTATAATATTGAAGGTAAAAAATAACTGATTTGTATACAAACACTTAAATTACACTTTTATTTATTTTTATAATAATAAAGTTATATGAAATATAAACATTTAAATGGCGGCTGTCATAAAAACTTGCCAGATTTATTCAAACATGCATTAAATATTGAACAACATTAAAAATTATAATGAATATGAAATATGGTGCATATATTTAGCAAAATGCTCCTCTTTAGAGTTAATTTTTCTAGCTAACTAACGAGTTTATGGTCACATATGGTTTTATGGTTTTTCTGAGGTAAATGTGACATTACATGACGCTGTTTTACTGACGTCTTTCCACGGTTGAAACACTGATTCTATGATTCTATCACTGATTGAAACACCGATTCTATGTTACATGATATGGATTTCGATAAGTTGTACTCTATCTTTTAGTTTTAACACACTTTCAGATGCTCATTCATGTTTATTTCGCGCTGCAACTGGTATTATTAAGGCAGAAGAGGAGATCATGTGCGCTCCGCGCTGCTGCTTCTCTTGAGCTGAGCTGAGCCAGAGCGATCTCACGCCACAGCGCCAAAACGGTTTTTATGTTTTTGAATTTCGTAAGAAAATGGACGTAATTTGAAATCTGAGACTTTGTTTCATATCAATAATAACAAAGCACAAAGATTACTGCAATTTATTGGATGGGATGCCCGCTACAATGTTCCATTCAGACATCAACTGAAGACAGGATGACTAGCCTAATAGATTCTTGGGATTTAAGAATCGATATCGGTTCGATTAAAATCGAGAAATCGATATTTTTTACACAGCCCTAGTCTTTACTACCTTTCTAGGCCTTGAAATTGGTAGTTGCTTAAGCATTTTTGGGTGAACTAACCCAGTTTAAACTGTGTTCAGTCTGCCATCATTTGGAAATCAAACATTTCTCATCAAATTCTTCCAAGATCAAATGATCTTTTGATTGTATAGTTCTATACTCTTCTGTATGTCAACTATTGACTCATTTGTTGTTTTTTTTAGGAAGGAATTTTAGGATTCATTTTATCTGAGAACAATTTTATTCATAATATAACTATTCTGATCTATGAAAGAGCAATAAGACTTTCATCTGGACCCATTTTGACAACTCTGGCCATGAACCAACAGCAAAACAAGAAAACTGGGAATCTTGACTGCCGAATTTCTGCTTTGTTCTGGAGATCCTAAAACTAGTTATTCCACTTTAGGAGGCGAGAACAAAGTTTGCACACAAACACACACACCTCCATGCAAACGTACAGTGTGAAAACAGAAAATATTCTTCAAGATAAGAGTCTCAAGCCTGAAAGCACCTCACACATTCTAGGGACAGGATGTTTAAATGTGTTATAAGGAAGCATATGTGCAAAAACGAGAAGTCACATCGAGCAAAAGTCACCAACTCCATGCAAATGGGGGTCAAAATGCATCACACCTTGATCGGTACCTTGAACTTCTCAGATCTGAACTCCCCCAGACATCCGGTCTAATTGAGAGAACTGTGATACAAGGGGAAATGCTAAGTTACATTTGTAATGGTTTGGAAACCTTTGTGAACACTTTGGCAGTTTGTTTGAGTGCTCAGACATGTCAAAATCTTGGCTTAACCAACTACCACTGGCCAATGACAGACGGATGAAGTGTTTAGGAAACACTTAAACGCTCAAGCTTAAATGTTAATATAACATCCTTATGTTTTAGTATTATTAGTAGTGGTGGGGGAAAAAATCGATTCTGTTCAGTATTTGCTGAACGCAGTTATATCGATACAGTAGCGCAAAGTATTGCAATATTTAATTATAAAATAAATTATCTGTTTACTTTCGGGGTTTTCTCCATTGGTTTTCTCTGATAATTTACATTTGCGTATTACATCCACAAGGTGCTTTTTACGTCCTGTTCTCTAATAAGGTCCTGTGTCCTGAATGTTCAAGGACAAAGTTTTTGCACTTCAGTTAATGTGTAGAAGATAATGTTCACAGAATTAAATGTGACATTTGAAGTGAGTTGAGCAGTCTTATTTTCCTCATTTTTTGTAATGCCTTTGAATAATATGGGGAATATGAATCGCAATACTTGCTGTATCGCAATATGTTAAGAATCGCAATAATATTGAATCGTATGTAAAGTAGATATACTGTGTTAAATTGCATTTGACTGAATATTAAACACTCCAGGGTAAAAAGATGCCATATTTCTCACTCTTTCTGCTGGTTCTGCAGACAAAGATCATGAACCAGCAGGGAAAATACAATTATGGTAACTATAAAGACTAAGACCTGCCTAACATATATCAATAGGCTATGTGTTATTAGTGGGGTTTGAAAATAACCAACCATTATGAGTTTTCTCAAGAAACATCATGAGATTACAGAAGACACTTGTACAGTCATTTGTTCAGAAAGTTTCTCAAAACTCACTCGAAAACAGAGATTTACAACGTTTAAGTAACTTTCTCAATTCATCAGAAATGATGCTAAAAAAGAAAGCATATGATTGTGCAGTTAACATTTTAAGAACTATACACTTCACTTCCTGAAAGTGCATCTCACTATAATGTCAGCAAATGCAATGATCTGAAGCAACACAAGAAACTTACATTGCTATCTTAGTTTACACCTGGTGTTTCGACTAATCAAACCAAAAGATATTGTATAATCGACAAATTAGTCAACCTGCGTGTTGAAACCAGAAATACATGACATGTGCAACTGGAAACTGGATGTTTTGTAATGTGTACATTGTGTGAGTGGCAGATATAAATTTCATTGTGAGCATGACAACAAGGAAATGTGTTTTATAGTATCAGGTACGACCTATAAAGGGAGGGTCAGAAGGCAAAAGATGATATCATATCACAATACTAAACCGAACCAGGAAAAAATGCACTTTGATGAAGATAACCACATGAAGATCTGTTCCTCAAACCAAACCGAAACCTCAAATTACAGACAGACGGTCAGAATATATTACAGTCGCACCCTTATGAAACTGCGTGAGTATTTATGTACAAAGGACATATCAAAGAGCTTGTTCCTATAAAAAGTAGTCGCTAGCCTAAAATAACCTAATTTGCTACTATAAGGTGGCATTTGATCAGATAAAACAGCCCAAGTGTCAAGGCCGATATATCGGCTGATATTTGGCACTTTAAGTTTTTAAGCCGATAAGTTTTTTGCTTGGCTGATGTGTCAGAAGCTTTTAATTTGACAGCATGTGGGACTATTATTTTGAAACCTTCTGAGCATTCATTCTCCATATAACTTATAATAAATTATTAGACGGAGCTGTTAAACAAAGTCAACAGTATACGAAAAACTTTTATAGCGTTTGCTTTTCGATTATTAGTGATAGAAAAGCAAAGGCTATAATACTTTCTCATCTCGTCAGCATTCAAATATGCATTTATATCATTTAAATTAAACCGTGTGAAATCATATTTATATCGGCCACCCTGCTGTCTAAGCCACCAAAAAAATAAAAATAAAAATAATGGTAAACCACAAGCTAAATCATAATTGTCAACTTTTAGGAGCACTCTAGCATGCACATGAACTGAAAGCCGCAAATCTCTGATTTCATGGACTCTTTAAGCCATTCCCAAAAACACATTATAGCAAACAAATTAAACACACCCCATATACCCACCATTTGAATATGTCAGAAACCACATGTGTCTTTAAAACACATACACACCAAGCAGGGTGGGGCGCAGTTTCAACTTCCTCTCTGTAAATCAAACACCCGACCACCTGAACGCAGCGGGAAATCTCAACACGCATCACGTCTCGTTGATGTATCTGTGCAAACCTGGTGGCTTTATCCAAATGAACGCTGGCAGATGCACCTGAGAGGACTTACCTGCAGGATCTGCTGCTCTAGCTGAGAGTTGGCCTTGCACAGCTCCATGATGTGTCTCAGCAGCAGTTTGGTGCTCTCGGTTTTACCCGCGCCGCTCTCACCACTGCGGGACAAACAGATACACGTGTTAGACTGTAGTATAAAAGTGGTACAAAGGCTAGTGCCATTGGACAGTCTTACAAAAGGGTAACTCAAGTACATCTGGATACAAGAGCAAACAAAAACATAGACAAAATGAAAAGATTTTGACCTTATTGAATCATGTTATTTAAGAATTTCAAATTCTCATTACTGCAACACATACTGATGTTTTGGTTTGCTTACAAATTCTTATTTTAAAGGTTCTCTAAGCGATCCTGGGTGACGTCACTTCTTGTTGACGTTCGAACTATTGTCAAACAAAACGGAGGCTAGCTAGACCCTCCCTCCTCCTCATCCGCACACTAAGGGCCCTTACATAGTCAACGCATCGGTACGCATACGCGTGCGCAAGGCTACACATCGCTACGCTTCGGCCGCCATTATGCGTCGATGCGTAGCCAAATGTGTCATCCTAGTTTTTGATACGCGACGCGCCGATGCTATGCGTTGTCGGTGGGGGCGACATTGGAAGTAATGTACATAAAAAGGTATATTATTATGTTTACAGAAGAAGAAGATTTGAATACAATGGCGGGCGAAGAGGAAAAGTTATGTGAGCTTGTTTTGTTGCCACCGATGTAAAATCAGCAATATGCACTCCTCTTCAGTTGCTATTTTGATCTGAATATCACGTGACCCGACTCTAGACTCCACTACCCGCTGTTGTGCGATCGGTGTATTGCATTTCACGCATCGCCGGTAACGCTTGCGTCTGCTTGTGTACTATGAAAAGGAGCGTGTAGCTCGCGTCACTCGCGTTGCTTGCTCGCGTTGACTATGTAACGGCCCTAACCCCCCAAACCACACCCCCAAACCCTTCTTGTCGGTCATTGGCTGGAACAGTTTATTATGTTTCAGGGAGCGGGTCGCTGCAGTTTGCTTTTGTTGCTGTTTGTGGAGACTGGGCTGTCTACAGAGATCGCGTTTCTTTACAGTGTGTTCAGGGGACAGGCAGCCAGCGGATAGTGAGGAGATGTTTGCTGTATGTGACAAAAAATGTTTTGGCCTACAAAACGCGTGACATCGCTTAGAGCACCTTTAAATTAAAACTGCAGTCCGCAGTTTTTCCTCTTTGTCGCCATCTCTGTTCGAAATCTGCAATTGCAGTTATTCGCGAAGTTTATCAACTTTACGTGAGTTGTAGTTCGACACCCTCGACACGGCACAGCGCGGATGAACACAATGTTTGAGGAGACTGTGAGGCTGTCAGTCACCGTGCCGGTGTGGATACTGGCATTCAGAATCACAGATTATTCTTTTTGGAAGTATGACCAACATAAGAATTTTCACCGGAAAATGTCATCTGAACAAGTAAGAAACATCCACTTTTGTTCTGGTTCTGACATTACAGTAAATCGCGCTGAACGCTGATTAAATCTAAAAATCACTTATCACCCAAAACCGTGCAAATTATACTTTGTTCTCAAATTGTTAATGTTAACAACGTCAGCATTGCGTGACTACATGTAATGTCCTTCCGATATTTATCATTGTTTTCGCATGGGCCGGTTGCTTTTTCTGTAGCCACTCCGAAGTCTGAACGAAGACTTTTGCATTTTACAGCGGGTGAGTCTCTAGTTGTCACTGGTGATTGTCGTTTGAACCTTTCTGGATCCGCCATCAAATTGATAAGTTTAATTATATAAAGTGCTGTGAGAAAAGGCTATAAATCTCCACCTCCAACATCCTCACACGCCATATAGGCTAGCCTACTAGCCTCTTCTTTATGTGTACAGATGTGACGTAATGACGCAAAGACATGCTCGAATTTCGAGTTTTGAATTGAGCTACGGCAAGCAGATAGTTTTGAACACTGGCTGGTTATGTATTTTCTCAAATATGTATTTTGGATCATTTTTAACCCAAAAAAAGCTACGGACTGCAGCTTTAAATAAATTCTATTCTAGAACTATTCTATTTATATTGTTTATATATATATATATATATATATACACACGTGTATGTGTGTGTGTGTGTGTGTGTGTGTGTAAACAAGACAGCACAGCAATAAAAGTATTTATATTATATATATATATATATATATATAAAACACATTAGAATTTAAATTATTTAGATTGTTAATTTTATATAGTGGTATATATATATATATATAAAAATGTGTGTGTGTGTGTGTGTGTGTATATATATATATATATATATATAAAATGAAACAGGCATTCTTCTACGGCTGTTTTTTATGTCTTGCCTTGTCATTGTATGCATAAGAGGCATTCTTTCCCTGTTGTCTGGGAGACTATCAGCCTCCCTCCACTGGTACTGGTCTCATTCATGGACGGCTGTATGGTTAGTTACTAGGGGTGACGACACCATTGGGCTCTATTAAGGGTTGTGGGTTTACGGTTTACGTAACCAGAGAAATTCTGTTACCAAGAGACCGTGAAAATAAACTTTTTGTTTTTAGCACTGCCCTGTTCCCAATCAATACACAGAATGCATCTGAGAAATCAACCATGAGGCTCCATTTCTGAGAAATACATTAAGCCGACTACTCTAATGGTAAAGCAGCACTGCAGAGTCTCGGAGGAAGCCTGTACGTAGAAAAAACCTTAAATATGATACCGGATACAGTAACGAGTAGAGCTATCATTCATACTATTGAGTTATGGAGGAATCAAGAAACTAATATCCACCTGAAACTTTCAAGGTGAGTATCATACGGGATGAAACTGAAACTAGACAAGGAAAGTTCGACAAGACAAACTTAGAATGATGATTAGGCAAAGTCTGAAGGTTGTAAAGTTTAAAGGTTATACAGGATAGATTTGTTTGACTAATGGAGTTTGATTAACTCCCAAATCTGAATAAGTGTTAAAGTTACTCAAGTCAGAACAGCCTGAAGGGTGTGCCTGAAAACAATAACAGCATGTCTATACATTTCTGCTTGTGTTTACAAATGAAACCGACACAAGGAGCCTTATTTGATATGCCAAAAATGTATTTTCTTGTCTCTGCATGTCTCGTGGGAAAACAAGCATGACTGAGCAAGGAATTTCATACTGTACTGACACGTGTCACCATACGACCATATAGAATTACTGAAACCTTTCCTGGAGAAAGCATTGGTTTTGGTGAATTCATTTGATTGCAACACAAACCTGATCACGATACACTGGTTCTTGGGTCCCGTGGCCAGACGTCCCAACATGGACTGATATGCTCGATCTGCCACAGCAAATATATGAGGGGGCAAAGACTTCTTCTCATGGCACTTATACCGCTCAGACACCTGCAAATGGATTTGAGTCAAAATATCAGTTCAAATATTCATTTAAACATGTTTTCTACAGTTTTCATCTATATAAGCCAAAGAAACACATTCTTACCTCTTTTTCATAGATTGAAAGATATTTAAATGGGTTAATAGCCACCAAGATGTCTCCTATATAGGTCTGTAAATACATAAAAATACTTATTAATTCAGTTAATCAGTTAACGTTAGATGTCTCAATGATCATAAGTTAAATGAGGTTCAGGCAGCAGCATTTACATACAGCGGGTGAACAACAACTGTCCCAGAGAACAAGAGCTCATTGTTTTATAATCTCTAGATAATAAACCTTGAACACAGCTGGTTTACCTCACACTTTACACTGATTTGTGGTATTTTTTTAGGTCTTTTTACCCTTCTTAAGTTGAGTATTTTACTCACATAGATTAGGTTCTGTGTAAAACGTCCAGTCAAAACCTCCAGCAAACTTTTCTCGTCCAGCTCTGACAGATTCGCCAGATCTTCAGGCAAGTTTACCTCCATCTTTCGTCTCTAATACTGTACGTTAATATTCCAACTGTCAAATGTTACTGTCTCGAAAAGAAAAGCTCGTGTTTATATCCACGGTCGGTCGCTCACTTCAGCAGGGGCTGATTCAGTTGATTCTGTGTGCGCGCACGCGCGCGACTCTCTATATCACTCTCTAAACGCTGCTTGAGTCTCTCTCTCTCTCCCTCCCTCTCTCTCTCTCTCTCTACATGCTGTTTGAGTCTCTCTCTCTCTCCCCCCGCCCTCATCTATTTACACTATCATTAACCCTTTCCTCACAGTATCATGGATGGATCCAGTCCATTTTTACAGACTGTGATGACGCGTTTTAACGGTCGTCATCATCAGCATCGTAAATCCTGCAATTTTTTTTATATTTTCATTTTTTTAACGATGTATACATTTATTTAGTCAATAAAATGTTTGTTCAAAGTTATCTGGTTTTAATAATGCTCTCAAGATTAACACAAAAAAAATATTTAAACATCATTCATAGTTTTTTTTATGAAAAAATCTAACATCTAACATTTTTTAAACATTACGACTTGTTTCAGAATGTTCAAAGAACTTTCAAAACTATCCCATAATGTTTGAAAAATGATATGGTGTTTCCCAAAAATGAAAATTCTGTCATCATTACTCACCCTCATTTGGAAGCTTGTTTCCGCCATGGAGTAAAAAATAAAAGTTAATTGTGACTTTTTTATCTCACAATTCTGACTTTTTTTTTCTCGCAATGCGATAAATGTCGCAATTGTGAGTTATGAAGTCAGTCTTTTTTTACCTCAGAATTAGACTTTATAACTCGCACGCGACCAAGCCTACCCCTACCCCTGATTATGAGAAAATAAGTCAAAATTGCGAGAAAAAAAGAGTCGGAATTGCAAAAAAAGGAAGAATTGCGAGTTTATGTCTTGCAATTCTGACTTTTTTTCTCGCAATTCCTACTTTTTTTTTTCAGAATTGCGTGATATAAAGTCGCAATTGTGAGAAAAAAAAGTCATAATTGCGAGAAAAAAGTCAGAATTGCGAGTTTAGATCTTTATTTCCCGCAATTGCGACTTTATATCACGCAATTCTGACTTTATAATTTGCAACTGCAACTTTATATCCTGCAATCTGAAAAAAAAGGAATTGCGAGAAAAAAGTCAGAATTGCGAGATAAAAAGTTGCAATTATCTTTTACTTTTTTTTTATTCGATAGCGGAAATAAGCTTCCATGTCACCAAGTTGTTTCAAACCTGTATGAATTTTTCTATTCTGCTGAACACAAAAGAAGATATTTTGAAGAATGTAGATCATTTTAGCATGGTTTTGTACAGCACAGTGGTCAACTAAAAACTTAAGAAATGAAAAATGTAAAAATAAAAGCTAATTCAATATTAATAAATGCTGAATATAGGTAGCTAATGCTAAAATAACACTGTTGTAGTTCAATTCAAACCATTAAGAAGGAGAAAACATTGTTTTGGTTGATAATCAGGTGGATATTCAGATTAATGGGAATCAATGATTTATTCAGTGCGAGATTTCTAACTTTGCTATTTGATCCACACGTCATTATCTGGTGGATATTATGGGTCGGTTACACACATTTCAGTTATGCAATATGATTTATGATTGATTCTTATAACTTTACAGTATCTGTCCGCAGTGTGTTTTATGGAAACAGGTCATCATGGGTTGGATAATGTATCATGGTCAGGTAATTGACACTTCTGGAATAAATTAGACAGTTTCTCTCAAAATGTTGTGAATAAATTGGCCTTCACATGTGACCAAAATAAATGAACAGGCCTAAATTACACTTGAATTAACGCAATCTCTTTATCATGGTATTTGCACTGTCATTTAATTTACTATAAAAATAACGTTTTGTATACTGTTACTGTGTATTTTCTTATATATACTGTATTTTTCCACTGATTCACCATCTTAAACATGCACCACTTTAAAATAAATGATATAATACACACCAAATATATATATATATATACTGTGTCACCATTTATATATATATATATATACTAAAGCTATTTAGACGCTTGTATTTGCACAATAATGTTTCAAACTAAAATACAGGGGGAAATACAGTAACTTTTTTTGGTCTTGATTTATTGTATTAAATCAATTTCTCATTAAAAAACATTATAAGACACAGAAAGGCCATTTTTTTGTTACATCATACATCATCTTAAGTACAGTACATTTGATCAGGTACATTTGTGAAACTCAAACATCAGATATCTGCTGTCATATGAAACAAAACAGGTGGATTGCTTTTATATGTAACGGCTGAACTCTTCTAGTCAAAAAAAAAAAGTTATCATGGACACTATATATGTATCAGTTAAGCCCAAATGTTCTGTTACTTCTCCAACATGACTAGTATAAAGGGTATAAAAGCACTAACAACATATTTACAGATACATGTTGTGAACAAAGATCTATTTCATTTCAATATCAGATGTCGGCACTGGCTTCCTTTCTGCTTTCTTGCTTTTCCTATGAATGAAAAGAAACATTTCAGAGACACTCTCAATCATGGTAAAATGACTTTAAATTACTTATTGCAGTTAACACCTCCATCACTTCATACTTACTTATGGAGCACAAACATCACAATAGCAGAAATAAGAGCACCAACAAACACAATCCCACCCAAAACACCCACGATCAGCCCTGAGAGAGGAAAAATACACAATGCAAATGTGTTTATGGACATTTTTCAATAAAGGTTCATTGATGAAATGTAAACATATTAATAATGAAACGTGCAGTTAAAACATCAAGCCCTTTTATGCCAAACCACTTATATGAGTAGTGAGTGTACCTGCACTAACACCCTTCTCATCAGGGTTTGGCAGATCTGCAGCTCCCAACAGCCGTCCGGATCTCGCTGGAAAACACATTCACACAGTCAGTGAGATCAGACAGTCAGAACAGACTGACCTCTGGTGGACAACAGAACAACACACACACAGTCAGTGAGATCAGACAGTCGGAACAGACTGACCTCTGGTGGACAACAGAACAACACACACACAGTCAGTGAGATCAGACAGTCAGAACAGACTGACCTCTGGTGGACAACAGAACAACACACACACAGTCAGTGAGATCAGACAGTCGGAACAGACTGACCTCTGGTGGACAACAGAACAACACACACTGAATCGCTGAACACCGAATACATGTGTAGGCCTAGCGTCTGTTTTCAAAGAAGACTCTTATGTTCACCAAAGCTGCATTTATGTGACCAAATACAGTAATTTAAAAAAAAATATATTATAAAGAACTATTTTCTATGTGAATATATTGTAAACTGTAATTTATTCCTGTGATCAAAGCTGAATTTTCAGCATCATTACTCCAGTCTTCAGTGTCACATGATCCTTCAGAAATCACTCTAATATGATGATTTGATGCTCAAGAAACATATTTTTTTTAAAAATTTTGAAAACATATTTTTTGTGTGGAAACTTTGATAATTTTTTTTCTGGATTCTTTGATGAATAGAAAGTTCAAAAGAACAGCATTTATTTAGTAAAATTATAAATGTATTTACTGTCACTTTTGATCGACTGAATGCGTCGTTGCTGAAATCTGATCACTATTTTCACATTTAGACTTCCCAGTTTACTTCAGGTAATCTTGCATCAGTTGATGTGAAAGAACTTCCCTCACAAAGGGAACTTTAACAGAACAGTATCTTATCTTCTCTCTATAGGCTTATATACACTGCTGTTCAAACAGTTTGGGATCGGTAAGATTTTTTAAATGTTTTTAAAAGTACTTATGCTCTTCTTATAGAACCTCTTATGCTCACAGAGGCTGCATTTATTTGATTAAAAAACAATAATAAAAATACTGTGAAAAATATTGTTACAATTTAAAATAACTGCTTTCAACATTGATATTAATAAATGTTTCTTGAGCATCAAATCATCATATTAGAGTGATTTCTGAAGGATCATGTGACACTGAAGACTGGAGTAATGATGCTGAAAATTCAGCTTTGATCACAGGAATAAATTACAGTTTACAATATATTCACGTTTTTTCTTGGTTATGCGAACATTAAGGAAAATTCCATTTTATCATTTTGCAAACATTATTGGATACTTTTGAATGTACTTTGAATGTACTTCTGAAAAAAGTAGTAGGCTTACATAAAAAAAAAAAATCAGAGTAAAAAATCAACTTAAAACGTTTAAAAAAACGCATTGTATACGTATATATGTATAAAACATATTTAACGACGTATAACCAATGCGTTTTGTGCTAACGTTTTGAGAACATTATTAAAGACCAGATAACTTGAAGAAACATTTTATTAACATTACTGGAATAATGTTTGTTCATAACTTTAAGAGAACATTGACAGAACATTCCCTGTAACTTGGGTAACATATAAAGGCCCAGTGAAGTGCCTTATTCAATGTGTTGACATAATTAGTTTTGCATATCGAACAGCTCCTCCCCTTTTTTTAAATAGAGTTTATATCTAGAGCCATTGAGTTTCGTAAAGCAGCAGTTTCCTCCTAATCTCTAACCTTATCTAACCGTAACCTACTAAACTCCTCCATATCCAACTCATCTGAGCTGAGAGGAAATCTCTTCAATTTAGTGTAATTTCAACAACATTTTGGGATTCCATGCTGATTAAAAACCGGTGAAAAGAGACTTGAACTAACCGAGACACAGCTTCTGGCAATCCTCTCGGGAATCAAACCGGTTTGCGTTTCCTTGGCATCCTTTATATAAGAACACACGGCAGTCCTTCTGTTCACTGTCATAATAATGCTTTGGGATGATGGCGAAACAGGTGCCTTCGTCTTTTGGCAGAGAACAGGCCATTTCTGACAAACATGAGGGAAAGAAGAAAACATTGATTCACTCATGTAAAATTAACAAATACGGTATTTACTTGGTGATTGTTTTACCGTCCGTCGGGTAGATCTGGTTGCCTTTTGGAGAACATGTTATCATGCAGTCTTTATCACTTTCGAAGCGGTTGCTGTTCCCGCCTTGTCCTTTGTAGAAGAAAGGCACACAGAACTGTAACTTGGAATCATAGGAATATCTCAAGAACTTTTCCGTTCCCTTTCCTTCATCTCTGACGTCTGTGCACTTTGGGGCTGAGAAAAACAGAAATAATTCATTAATATCTCATCAAAAGGTGTACCTGAAACGTCATACATGACATTTTTAATAGGCTACATGTTTGATCTAGAGGCCTTTGCTTAAATGCGTGAATTATTTTTTTAATGATAATTTAAATACTTAAAAAACAAGGATGCAAACAACTCAACCGGAGCTGTTTTCAGTATGGCATAAATGTGTCCATATTGTGAGTGGTTTTAAAAGCCTAAACCTGTTTACACTTTTATTATCCTTAGACATACATTAACATATGGCAAAATGTGTGGCTTTGATAATGTGTTTATGGTTAGGGTAGTTATTTTGCCTATTAAAATAGGCCTATTTTGAGAAAAAAAATTTTTTTTTTGCAAATTGATCAAAGGCATATTACTTACAATAAATTCTAGTTCATGTCTATTAGAATTTTCATCTGTATTAGAATTATTAACACTATACAATACTTTTAATACAGAATACACTGTAAAAATGATTTTTCGAAGTTGTACAAAAATATGATTGAAGTACGCTTCACAAAAAAAAAAAAAAAAAAAATACATTTAATCGTTCTACTTCAAAATTTCACGTTTAATTCAATCTTACTTGTCATTTCTTTAATTATTTGTCAAATTTAACAGCGATATCTGAGTGAAAATTGTTTTATTGTACATCCTACACCCTTTTCCCCAGTGTAGACACTTCCTGTAAAGCAAGCCTTGTGTATAACTCCAGTAAGACAAAAACTCACCCTCTGTAAAAGCAGAGACGCCACCAAATCCCAGAACCACCACCAGAACATACAGTGTAGATCTTCTCATCGTGCTATTTTTCAGATTTGACTCTAATTCGTCTAGTTAACCGCCAGCAGTTGTTCGATCTGCACCGACTAGCTCAGCTCACGTCCTTTAGACCCTCTTATCAGCTCAGTTTTTATGATCAGGGTGTGTTTCTGTCACATTGAGGCCAGTTTCAGTCATAAAACATGACACTGACTCCTCTTATGGTCTCATAAAGTACTGTTTCGTTCAAATGAAATGATCAACTCTCTCCAAACCTGTTCATGATTGCACATAAAACTGAGAAATTACTTATTTAGGCCTAGGCCTTTAGGTAAAATCTGTGGTACATATATATATTTATATATATTATATATATATATATATATATACAGTATATGTGCTGTCAATTAAATTAATCGCATCTAACATAAAAGTATGTGTGTATATATACATATATATATGCTTGTGTATGTATTTAATGTAAGTGTGTAATCTGTGTATGTAATATAGATATACACACATATTTATAAACTTTTATGTTAGATGTGATAATCGCGATTAATCGGTTTGATCGCACTAATAAATATAGTAGTATTAACTGTGATAAAATATTTAATATTTGTAATAAATTCTTTTATGACTCTCTCTGTCTATATATTTTTAAAATATATATTTAATTTAAACATTTACATTTTATAGAAATTAATGGCTAGAAAGGTCTCATTTGCCATTTGTTTCTCCTGCAAACCCAAGTTTATTCAATTAACAAGAGATACACATTTGTACTATAAATTAAACGAAAAATCCAATAAAAAACAACAACAGACTACTATACAGATACCTATACCTTTGGTAAAACAGATACATATTAAACCATTTTAATATTTTAAATATTACATAAAAATATTAACTTAAATATATAATGTTTTAGTGAGATTTCCAAACCTTTAAGCTTTTCATTTATTGATAAAGTAAGTGTGTGTATAGTTTGTGTGATATAGTTTCACTTAGGAAGGTTTCAGGTCAAACTATCATGGCGTTTGCCCATAAATGTCATTGACACAGCCAAACCCGTCCACAGGTCATGACTCATGATTTAATATTCGTAGTATTTATTAATAACATTTAGGCATACAAAAAACATGTGACTACAGAACACATTTAGAGAAGTGATTAAAGTGGCATGACACAGCAGTGAAATAATTAAATAAAAAATAACAATTACTTAAAAATACAATAACACTAAACAGATGCTTAAAGAAATGTAAGTGCATATTGGGTGGTCTCATTACATTAAACGCAGGTATTGTATTAGTTGATTATTATTCACTATATGAATTGTTTTATTCCCTGAAATAGCAGATTAGTCTCATCTTAATTCAAAGGCTTTGCTTAGTCAGGTATATGAGCAATCATAATCCCACAGCTCATTTCTCTGCACAGTATTCCTCCATTAGTCACGTAGGTGTTGACACACTGAAGTAATGGGTTTAGTGCGTGTTTTGCAACTGAAAGCAAAACAGAGACCGACGGTGAACTGAGAGCTGTGGAAAAAGCCTCTCGAAGGACCATCTGTGTGTTTTAATGAGACACAGAGGAATAGGAAGCATAGATGATCCATAACAATACAACCAGTAAACATCTGCTATTCTGCACGTAACAAACATCAGAGAGGATGCATAGATTCACAGCACTTATTTAGTAACCAAAATAGATTCATAAATAGATTCTTATAAAAGCAGCTGTATAAAAAATAAGTAGCAAAAGTATTTGAAATACACTACGAGTGAAACTATTTAATAATAGTCATTTAAACTTCAGGGTGACACTTTACAATAAGATTACATTAAATAATGCATTACCTAACGTTAACTAACAGTGAGACATCTTTGTTAACATAATTAGATAATAATAATACAACTGTTTATAGTTCATGTTAGCTCAGATCCATTAAATAATATTAATAACTTTTGATTTTAGTAATGGATTAGTAAATGGTGAAATTAAGACGAATTAGTGCTTTAGAAGTATTGTTCATTGTTAGTTCATGTTAACTAATTAACTGAACTATTAATGAAACCTTATTGTAAAGTGTTACCAACTTCGGCAAAGTAGCACGAAAGGAACTTTTAACTAGTCGTGTGGATTGTTGTCCTGAAAAAAATCTCCATATAAAAGTTCTGGCTCTTTTCTGCAGGTAAATGTTTCAGATAAAGCCCTCGGGAATTCAGTGTGATTCGGGAAACACCTCCGTGTGATTCCTAGGCTTTAAAGTTCTGGAAGATCTCGGCCACCTCGAGCCAGCTCCGGAAGCACGCCAGACCCTGGTCTCTGATCTGCTTTCGGCCTTTGTCTGTGATCACCTGACCGTTCTCCTTCACGATGACCAGCTTTGGTAAGGCTGTGATGTTGTATCTCTTCTTGAGTTCACTGGGAAAACAGCAGAAAACACGTCAGCATCACAAACACATGCAGACACTTCAGATCAACAGATAGTTGAGGTAAAAACATAACATGCAATTGTTTTAATCTGAAACAGCTTTAAATGTGATTTGTTTCAAATAAAAGGAACCATCATTTTGACCAAACAGAAATTTTCAGATTTTAAATGATTATTGCAATAGAGACAGACAGACGGATAGATATTGCCTTCACTAGTTTAAATATTCCTGTGGTGTGACAAATACATTTGGTGCATGTAAAATAATTACAGAACATTTCGTTTATTAGTCCGGATTCCCAAACCTTTTGGCCAACTAGTTCAGAGTAGTTCTGGATAAGGATTTTTTTTAAACAATTCTTCAGAGAAATGCAGAACATATATATTCTATAGAAATGCCAATATTTGTATTACTTTTCCAGCCTTGAAAATCTGAATAGTCAGATTTCCATGACCTGATTAGTGCAATAATGGCACACATGTAGTGAGACTACACAGACTGTCTATTTTAAACATAATCCTCCAAGTGTGTGTGTGCATTAAACCTCTTATCAGGAACAGACAGAGAGCTAGAATGTAAGGTTACTGTGGCACTTCACCACACAATAGACAACTCACTGTTTGCAATGGCAACTCACTGTTTATATGGATCCGTCCAGGACAGAGCCAGCCAGTCCCCGTGCATGTCATGATAATACTCCACCATGTCTTCAGTGGATTTATCAGAGGAGAGAAACACGATCTCGAACTGTGCAGGAGGCTCGGTCTCCTCCACCAGCTCCGTGTAGAAATCACACAACAGCGGAGTGAAGTCTCGGCAGGGTGGACACCATCCAGCGGAGAAATACAGGCCAACCACTTTATTCCTGAGAGCTTCCTCTGGATCCACCAGATCTCCCTCTTTATTCACGAGTGTTCTTCCTGAAAACACCTCGACCATCGCTGAGGATCTCAGCTGCGCGTCCAGGTAACCTGAGAGAAGTGCCTAAATTACAGTTAAAGTATTGCTATGTGTCGTAAAAAGTGTCTTAAGTAGGTTTAACATACGGGAAAGCAGCTCTGCTCAATGTTTACTGCGATCCCGCGCGAGTCCTTTGACAGCTTTGGATACAGGGACGCGTATTTACAAACCGCTTCCTACTATGGTGAGGTTGACTCATGAATATTAATAACGCAACGGGACGTTCGCCCGCTGATTCGCTGACAGCTGCGTTAGTAAGTAGACGCTGGTCAGGTGGCTTGGCTCATGAATATAAATTAGGTGGTTGCCAAGTAACGTCAACGCTATGTGATTAATATTAATGAGATAAGGGTTCGCCGGATCAAGGAGTGACGCCCTACTTAAAGGAGAACTCCGGCGCAAAATGAACCTTTGGTCTAATAAAACATTGGTACCTAGTCAACCGTTCTCTGAGATTTGTTTTCATGATAATCGAATGTAAAGAGTTTTATCTCTAAAAACTGTTTAGCGTATAACGCTAGTAATGGGGGCATCTATTAAGTAAAAATAAATCGCTAGTTTATACCACTAACAAGACTCAAAATAGCCCCACACTAACACAGTAACATAATGAGGGTCCCTACATGCAAAACGAAGCATTGAGAACTTTGTAAGTGTACAGACCGTTTAATAAGAAGATATTTTATGAAGACAGTCCACTTCGTGTATACAGACAGGAGCCATCTTTGGAAAACAGTCTCGACTAGTCAAACCACGAACGCCATTCATACAGTTCAGAAGTTCACCGAACTTCATACAGTTCAGCTCACTTAGCACGTCGTTCGTGGTTTAGTTATACGCTAAACAGTTTTTAGAGATAAAACTCTTTACATTCGATCATCATGAAAACAAATCTAAGAGAACGGTTGACTAGGTACCAATGTTTTATTAGACCAAAGGTTCATTTTGCGCCGGAGTTCTCCTTTAATTATGATGGACATTTGATTAAACCAATCAAGATTATGTGCACAGTTGTCAGCCGTACGTAGTAAGAAATCCTCAAAAAAAGGTCCCTTGGATGGATAGATAGATAGATAGAATGAGATAGATTGATATGATAGATAGAAAGACAGACAGACGAGATGACAGAGATATAGACAGAACCAGATGGATAGATATGGACAGACAGATAATTCATTGTAAAGTCGGATCAAGGAGGGACGACCTTATGATGGACAAAAAAATTCAAATTTTTTGTTTTAAATTTTCATTTCTAATTACTGAACAAATTTGACACTGACAGTCAACAGAAACTGAGGTGAACGTGTTGTTGAGCAGATGCCCGAATTATCAACGATAATCTCAGGTAAAAGGTCTCTCCACTCATTAAAATCAGAGTTTGTATTCTCTAATATACAATATTTTATGGGTAATTCAGAGGATTTACATTCACAGACAGATCTTGAGGCTCAAAACCTGTCTTTAACCACTAGGGGTGTAACAATATATCGCAATACAAAAATGCAACAATACGTATCGTAGTTAGTGACAATATGTATAGTGGACAGTTCCCCCAAAATAAAAATTACTGTGTGAGAAAAAAAATCAATTTTTTCAGAGTTTTAGTGTCAGTATTACATTAAACTACTATACATAATGTTGAATATAATGTATAACAATGCAATGGGGAAATATTTGTGGGTCAGCATAATGCCAAATATCTTGTTACCAGTAAAAAGTGGCCTACATTATTTTAAATATATCTAGTCAGTGACAGAGTGCAAGCATATTCGTCTAAAATAATTCTGTATTTTCAGCTTCAGAATCATGAATATTTTTATTCTGGTGTCTCTATTGTCCTTGGGTTTCAGCACCAAGTCCAAACCTATTCATTTAAACCCACAATGTAATATCAAAGTTAGCATTTTAATCAACAGTACATTTTTTGTTAACCTTTTATCATATGTCTTGGAGTTTCGCAATAATATCGTATCGTGAGTTCAGTATCGTGATATGTATCGAATCGTGACATGAGGGTACCCCTATTAACCACTAATATATTCTAGATTTTGAATTAAAAAAAATGTTCTGGCCAATGTTCAGACATATAGAAGCAGTTATTTGGATAAAGATTCAGACGCACGCATTCACATGAACTTTTTTAATCTTATAAGGATAGACTTACATAATAATTATAAAAATTACTTAATTCATTAAGTAACAGGTTTTAAAATGTGTTTATACTTAAATGAAAATAAAATGAACTATCTACAAGTTAAAAAAAAAGAGGAAAAAAAACAAACAGATTCAGTCCAATAGAAGCCATTTACCTATATGTGAAAGAACATGAAATTTGAACTATACATGTATCTGCAACAATCATCAAATTGCACTGCATTTTTGTCCATTCTTTTCTTTTTTTTATACAAAGTAATTAAAGAGCAACAGCATCTTAAAGGGACCATACGTTCGATTCTCTCCACGTAGTTTAAAGTGTGCATTTCCTCTAATTCTATATCTACAAGGTTGAATTAGATATGTGATATGCACACATTAGCTCGCTCTACATATAGATTCGTTTTTGATTTCGTCCCGATCGCATAAGGCCTGTTTCTTTGTTAAATATGGCACTCTTTATAGAAACAAATAAATTTGTCCTGTAGCAGAACGGTGGTACTGTGTCAAAAGGATATGATCCCTCAAATGCTGTTTAACACCGGTACCTTGCCTTCGATTGGCACGCCACACACAACACCAGTGCATTTGTTCTTATAGAGCATAGCAGAAAATAAAATACTTATTGTTTTTACTTAGAAATGGATTCAGAACCAGAACCGAAACGTCACAATTAGCAACACAATAAACAGAACCTTTCATTTAGGGAACGAATAGCCGAAATAAAAAGACAGGTACATGCATCACACTAACATACGAGAACAACTCTACTCATATCATGCAAAAAGAACGGTCTAGTTTTCATCGGGTTTTTTTTTCTCCGTTGTAAATTTCCCACGTCGACCTGACATCAAAACACAGTACATTACTACAGTAGGTACATGTAAAAGGCCAATCCCATGAGTATGTCTTTTCTGAGGGTCTCCGTTTGCATATTGACACGTCCGTTGTCCATTTGAATAAGACAACTCTAGCGAGTAGCGCGAGCTGCAGTGAGGACCCGTACGCCTCGAAATAGTGACCTAGCTCTCGTTTGAGAAGGAAAAGTAGAACAGTCCCAGGACAAAACTTTACCCCTGCGTTAAGGTCACTACATTTGTTGAGCGCCGCAGCTTTTTTGCCCAGCCGAGCGTGTCGCCTGCATTAAGGTTTCAAGGTCAAAACATGGAGAATCAAAACTATCTTTATGCACTTCTTTGCTGGGTGAATCTTATGAAAAGCATCAAGAAATGTCTAGGTCGCATTTCACCCGAAAATCATTTGATATATATACACACACATATTTATATAAATGTTTTTTGACATTTGCATTACAATTTTCATGACATTTATATATATATATATATATATATATATATATATATATATATATATAAAAATGAGTGCTGTCAAATCGATTAATCGCAGCTAACCTAAAGGTTTTTGTTTACATAATGTGTATATATATAAAATTATATTTATATATATATACACACACATTATGTAACCATAAACTTATGTTAGATGCGATTAATCAATTTGACAGCACATTTACATACATGTATATAATTTTTTAGCAATTGTATTTACATCTTCATGACAATTAACACATTTAAACTCAACCTCAAAATAATGATTTAAAGTATTCATACTTCATGGAAAGATTTAGATTTATGCTGATAAAGAAGGTTTATTACAGTATTAATGCATTACAGTAAAGGTTTTCTCACATTAGAGAATGAGAATTTCAATGCGTTTAAATGTCATGAAAATAAAAGCAAATTTTTTTTGCACATTACAATGTCTATTCATTTGTTTTCGGAGTGAAATATGACCTGTGCTTTTCTTGGTGTCACCCTTCTAGTGTTGCACATCAAATGCAGAACAGCGGATCTCTGCAACCCGTCCGCTCGAGGACGAGAGAAAAGCTTGATGTATCTGGAGCGGCCGAGTGTGAAGTGTTAAAACAGGAACGCTGTAACTGAAAGAAGAAACGCAGCAGCACAAAATGCTGAAATAATGCAGAACACATGTAGCTGAGAGGGCTTCTTCAAACATAGTAACATTCCTCGGAGGGGGCCTTCGAGTCAATTACAAGTCTAATGGGAACACACAAACCTCCAGACAAAACACACATGTAAAAAAACAAACAAAAAAAAGAATAAAAAAACGATACTGGAACCAGACAGTCAATATCGAGGCACAAACGTTTTAGGCTCGCAGAGAGATTAAAGAATTAAAAGAAAAATAACGCAAAAGTCACAGGGTGCATGGTTTGCAAAAAATTTCCTGAATACTTTCTTCATTATTGCAACAGCATTTTTCTAACTGGTATGGGATTAAATACTTTGTGCGATTAGTTTTTGTAACATCACTAAATACTTTGGGGCATTGGGTAACCGTACGATTATTAGCGCTGAAAAGACAAAATCGTGTGCTGAAACACAAACCCATTTATCTACACCGTAACAATGATAGTACCCAAGAGAAAATGTCCACACTATGCAATCTGATAGATGATAAGTGGGCTTTTTTTTTCTTCTTTTTTTTTTTTTACGTTTAATGAAGCCCAAAAGTGAAATAAACGTTCATATTAACGTTTCATTACGTCCCCCCCAAAGAAGTGGTAATTCACTGAAAACAAAACAAGTCTCTGATTTCCTCTAAATTTAGTGCTTGAGATAATAAAAGCTGCATTAGAATTTACTCGAGGTGATGATAAATGTTTATATGTTTACGTATATATATATATATAAAATAAAAAGTAGGAAACAAAATACATAAAAACAAGTCGTGGGGATTCATTTCACACAAATGACAGCAGAGCTCGTGTGCGCAATTCTGGCGAGGGTGAGTGCATGAGCTAGAAGACGACGGAGGGTTAAAACTGCGAAGATATCAAGGACAGCGGGATATCTTGTTTACAGACAAAACGGGAACATTTTCCCAGGGCACTTTCTACCGCCGACCTCCGGCCCTCCAACTCCTGGCACTTTTATGCACACTTTTTCTGCTCCACATCCTTCATGGGCCCCTGTGTTTCTCACGTCTGAAATGATAAACACCTCGTGCATTTTTTGTTGTGACTTTTCTCCCGGGATAGCTTGGATTTCGGAGCTGTAACAGTCCAACAGATGTACGCTTTAACGTCCGACGCAGCCCAGAACGATGTTACTCTAGCGGCCAGACCTCCGGGCTTTTCCCGGTGAACATGACGTCGCGTCTTCGTAATCACGAAGGAATGGGAAATGCTCGAGACGAACCTCTGAAATATGAAGCTACGTGTATGTCGGGGGATGTGATGTCCGTTCATCCTACAACAATAAGAGACACTTGACTAGTGGTAATCCACCATTCCATTTCCAGAAGATGTTACAAGAAATGTTTTGAAAGAACTTTTGGCAAAAACGTTTGTGTGAATCACATGGTTACGTGAAACTCCACCCCCTCTCCTCGTCCCGCGGGGCGTTTCGCTGCCTACGATGTTTTCACCAGGTCATAGACGTAAATGTGAAAGTCGTCATCAAACTTGATGAAGTAGACGGAGGGCTTGGCTTCCACCTGATGAATAACCATGCCAGTTCGTTTAGAGCCGTCCTCTTTGGCATATTCCACCTGCTTCCCCACGAGGCTGTCCACGACCTCTCCGGGCTCACGCTCCGCAGGGGGCGAGTCGTCTGCAACGCATGGGAAAAATCATAAATATAGATATAAATGACTCTTTAAAATGATAAAAACGGCTCAAATATGGTGCACCAATTAACTATTCAGCACACAAATCACTGAATATTATGAATAAACCGCAATTAGAATACATTTGTTTTCAATTGTAAGATTTTTTTTTAATCTATTGAAACGGAAAATACACACAAACACACATACACACACACACACACACAGGGCCTGACATTAACACCCGCCGACCACAGGTGTATTTCAGCAGTGGCGTGTAGCGCAGTCACTCCTACTAGCCACTTTGCCAGGTTGAATTTTATATATATTATTAGGCCTGTCACGATAACCAATTTTGCTGGACGATAAATTGTCCAAGAAATTATTGCGATAAACGATAATATTGTCGTTCCGAGACCATTTACATCTAAAATAATGATAATGGCATAATAATGCAGGTACACCTTTTCAAAGATCAATAAACTTTTATTTCTAAAGACTATTTAACACTGGAAATGGAAAACATTTTAAATATCCACAATAAATGAACAAAACAACCAAAAACAATAAAAGCAATGTCTCTGCTAACAAAAAATGCACTTGAATAAATACCAAAAACAATAAATAAAATGGATGTAAACAAAACCCGACCCTACCCTAAATGATTTGTTATTAAAGCATTAACACACAAACCAGTGTTAATTTAACATAAAAGCAAGCAGCTACTGCGTGCATGGTTCGGCACGAATGAATGTGCGCTCGCTTAATAATTCCTAAAAAGCTGACAGTTCATCGCGATCTCACACATCTCTGTTATTATCAATGAAGCTGACTGCACAATGAATCTTTCATAATATCCACACTTTGTTATAATTCGAGGATTTGCCAGCATACAGAATTCAGCACTGAACAAAAAGTCAGTTTTGAGCGGTGAGGGGAGTCTATCGTAAATGCTTCTGATTGGCCATTGCGTTCAAGAAGTCAACACATATGTCTGTGATTGGCTACATCGCTCATCGCTGCAAACATGTTATGAATAGAAACTCTGGCCTGTAAATCGTTTTGTTTTAGTTGTTCTTGTTGCTTTTCTGCATCAAATGAATAAAAATCTATTCGTTTTTATATGTTTTATTCATAGATATTTCTAGTTTGCGGGAGTCCCGCGAATCGTTTTATTCTCCCGCAGCCCGCACACACAGAGTGAGTGCATTACCGCCCGCGCCCGGCCATCAAATCTAGTGCCGCGCCGCACTCTATTGCGTTGGGAGTGCACGTCTCTAGATCAAGGGCCCGGCCCGAGGATAGTGTCGGGCCGGGTCGGGTCAAGTTCAGGCTCGGGCAGAGAATCTAAGCTCTAGTTCATGCTAAGGAACCGAGAGTTGTCATCCAGTCTCTTTGGTAGAGAGAGAGAGAGAGAGAGAGAGAGAGAGAGAGAGAGAGAGAGAGAGAGAGAGAGAGAGAGAGAGAGAGAGAGAGAGAGAGAGAGAGAGAGAGAGAGAGAGAGAAAGACACGAGGAAAACAAACAAGCATGCAAATGGAAATTATCGCGTCCGTAAAAATTATCGAGCTTATTTTTTTTATTGTGCGATTAATTGATTTATCGACTATCGCGACAGGCCTATATATTATTAACATTTTTAAATTGTAGTCTTTCAAAAAGGCATCTGAAACAATAAACTAAGTATAATGTAGTGTTGTCAAATGTAAATTGATACATATCAATACTGAAATGCCTGAACCGCTTTTAATACTCATTTTCCGCAGAATCAATACACTATACCAGCTGCTCTTTCTCTCTCTCTGACAGCGTGTGACACACAAACCCGTCTCTCTTCACTCACTCATTTTTTGTTGTTGTTGAAAATGGTTGGAGTTACAGGGCCTGAATTTCAGCGAAGGATTGGGCACAATTTAACAGCATTACACCCAAAGTGTGCTTACATAAAGCCACCTCTCAGTACTAAATTCCGTAGTATTTTTCGTAGCATATTGAGCTTAAAGCAGCACTATGTAGGAATTCCGTTTTTGTCAAACAGCGACCCCTAGAGTCGCTGTGGAGTACTTGTACTGTCGTGAATAGCACTCACGCAGAGATGGCTCGCACTCACGGCCGGATCCCCTCCCCCTGTACACCGGTACCTGTTCAGTAGGATGGACGCTGTAACGAGTGGAAATAAGGCGTGGCCCCTTTAAGAGCTGCGCGCGCCCAACACCACATTTATACGGCGCTGGGTTATTTCTGTTTGATGCTCATTTTATCAGAATTTGATCAGATCTGTTTTTTTGCCGTAAAGCAATTCGTTACCTCGCGAGACCTGATATCACACGATACTTCCTAACACTCAGGCTCGCCGGCCCAAAGTTGCAAGGGTGGTTTTGCGGCTCACAGGCACCAGGGGGGTGCGAGACGACCACCATTCAACACGAAATCAGTAATATAAACATTACAATGACTCCAAAGCTGTTCGGTTAAGGTAAAAAAGTTACTTAGTTCACCTTTAAACAGTCAAACACACACAAAATAATGTCAAAATGCCAGTCTTGGCAAGTATTCACATAAACACAGTCAGTTATGTTTTAACTGAATGTAACAGTTGAGAATAAAACGCATGTGTAACAGTATAATGGATCGGTGCGTCAGGTCTTAAAGGGACAGCAGCTGCCAAATTATGAGATAATATTAAAAATATCTATATGGCAGTTTTTTCCCATGGTATCAATGGCAGAATTGGGGCCAGTGAAAATGCTAAGTAGCTTTGAATAACCACTTGCCACAGTGGCTGAAAGGAAAAAATTGTTTTTTGTATGCATGTATATGCAAGCATTTTATCAGACATGAGCAACTCTTAAAATATCTATATTGCCATCATCCACTGAAAACCCCATATTGGCCCATCACTGCTATTAACAGTTCATTTAGAGATTTCAAATAGTCAAATTTAAAGACACTCAATTTCGATCATCACCAGCACTGAAAAACACTTACTAGAGTCTGGCATGATCCTCAGATCTCCGTCTTTATAGTCATCGAGCAGCTGATACATGTAGAGCACAGGTCTTTCTCATACGTGATGTAAAACCACGTGTTCATGATGGGCGCCCGGCCAGAACCATTCCCCTCCACTCGTTCTTAGTGCCGTCTCCGTCTCGAACATGTGCTCCACAGCTTTGCCGATCATGGTGTCGGCCAGGTGGGCGTCGCTGATGCGTGTCGAGGCTGAAAGATGTGCGAGAAAGCAAGACACACGATGAGTGGAAGGATCGGAAACATCATCCACGGCAGTAATCTGGGAACAATAATTCACTCAAAAAGCAAGGCTCGAGTTTATAACCGTGCTTGAAATAAGCCAATCCACATTCAAAAGTCATCCGATATCAGAGATTACTGAAGACATATTGAGTTTTAGTGCTCGTGTTTGGAGAGAATCCAGCATACATGTGGTATTGATCATAGCTGAATTAAACACCAGAACATATTTCAATAAGAGTTTGTTAGATGGTGAACCAGCATTAAATATTAGGTGATGGATATTTTGTGATTGAGAAGAATATTTATTAGGATCAATATGAGTGCAACATTTTAAAAATATTATATAATAAATTCACATTCACACATTGAGCCCTAACACACAAGC